TATACGCACACACTTCTTCCTGTTGCTTTTGGGATAGCAAAAAATTTGGCACCATTTTTGACTTCGGAAATATTCTGCAGCAAGTGTGACACAGGCAGTGTGGCACCCAATGCTAGACTGAATATGTTTTTACGTAAAAGGGCCGATATTTTGAGAGAATGTGTGTGTTGGTGATTCACAGAATTTTGGTCTTTTGCCCAAGTTGCGAGTAAGGTAATGGGTGATTTACAGTAACTGACTTGCTTGGGATTTCGGATTCATGCAGGGAGAGTGACTGGGTGCGTGACTATCCCTGTTTACCTAATGTTTCTTGTACAAGAGTGTTCTACTTGGAAATGGGAAAACTTTGCTTTACCCTGAATACTTGGGAATGAAAAAGAATATTCCTTTTTAAAAGTGTGAGGCAAGAAAGTAAGTGCATTGAGCAATTGCAAATCGCCTTTAAAATTAAGTTAAGTTAGGGAATGTAATGTATTAAGTTATTACTCAGGTAGTTCCTTTTACACCACACAAGTAAGTAAACTGAAATTATTATAATTCTTGGTTTATTTGAAATATTTATAACGTATAAGTGCAGGTAAAGTTAAATGCCGATGTGGTGTCGGCGATGCATCACGTGCATCTTTTTATTCTCCAGGCAAGCCCACGTTTTGCCGATGTTGAAATGCAGTCTTCCATGCAGTGCCGATGTGTCATCGGCAAAACCCAATAACTTGGCCACATATCTACAATAAGTTGAAAAGTTAAATGATAAACGTAAATGTTACGGTGTATATTTTCCAGAATTTCATTAAAATGTTTATCTTCTTATTCATTATAGGATAGGTACAAGGTGGATCTTTCTGTAATGCACGGAAACCGACTCCCACTTTTGCTGACTTCATTGAAAGGAAGAACATGGTTCCCAGGGATAACGTCACCATTCTACTTCTTGGGAGCCAGGGGTACAGCATTTGCCATGCATTGTGAAGACATGGACTTGGTTTCGATCAACCTAAGCCTCGGAGGTTACCCAAAAATTTGGTGAGTTACCTTACCGAAAGTTAGTAAATAGTATAACTGTAAACATCTTATTTTGTACAATAGGTACGGGATTCCAATGGAACACTTGGCGCAGTACGAAGCAGTACTGAAACTTCATCTTGGTGCAGGTGCTTGTGATGTGCCAGCAAGACACAAGCACTTTTTATTTGCGGAGGGTTTCCTGCACAAGTACGGGATCAAACCTGTAGTAGCTGTCCAGCATCCTTGGGAAATGATAGTAACATTTCCTAAGGGACATCACGGTGGCTTCAACACAGGCTTCAACTGGAATGTTGCAGTAAACTTTGCCCCTGAATTTTGGGTTGATTACGGAATAGCAGCTGTGAACTGCTCTTGTGAGTGAGTACAATGTAATTTTATTTCTCTCCTGATTCACTCAAAACGCGAATGTCAAAGTAGAATTTAATCCACATTTTTTCAACTTCCAAATTTACAGTAATGCATAAACACTTATTCCCATTCATTTATTTGCTTATCACTACTTGTCGTGCTTGAATATCATTGGCGTTATTAAATGAAATTACATGTACCCCGACATAGCATTGGCCAAATATTAAGCATGTAGCATCAATATAGCCGATGTGGTATTGGCAAAGTAACATGCCTCCCAAGGACTGAAAAAACAGTTAAGTCTATTTCATTGCAAAAGTACGGCCGTATATATTTAATAAACAGGTAAACAGCTATTATTAAATAGTCCCCCATTTCCTTAAATTAAGAAAAAAATTAACGAATCACTTTATGTTTTCAGAACTGTGGTAAACATTCGATTTTCAATGGAACCTTTTGTTCAACGTTTACAACCATCTATGTACAAAGACTGGCTGTTTGGAAAGATGACCCAAACCCCTGATGAGTGGACGCAAAGACGGGATTTGAGAGCGTGTGGGCTGAGTAACAAACATGTAAAAACCCCAACGCTCAGTGATTTGAAACTCACAAAAATGTAAGTATAACATGTTTTATTTCAAAATCTGAAAAGACACGTTATGAAAAGATAAATGAAGAATTTTTGTGAATTACAAATTTAAAACCTGCTTAATTAAGTACTGCAACTTTTCTATCCATCAGACCAAGAACCAAAGCTGCCTGGGCATTAGCTGAGGACGTTTCACCAACAGAGGTGCATCTACTACGTTTGCTACAGGAGAGAATCAAGTTCTTGGATGGAAAGGTCACAGATCTGTTGGGTCGTGGGTGAGTTATACATTAAGGAAAAAAGTCAAAACCAAATAGATTGATTGTGAACAATTCCTGTTTTTTTCAGGCCGAACAAACCAGACACAGTGTCCTGTGATCTCCTAGATGTCATTCAGGAAGAAGCAGAAAATCGGATGATACGACGACTACAGGGTGCAATGTTGAAAGTGAAGCGGAAATCGAAAAAGAGAAGACGTCAAA